AAAAGGTACACTACATCTACCATATCCAATGTCGACGAGGTCTTTCACTCAATATGATGGCTCATCGAAACGACAGAGATGGCCTATGCAAATAACTAGATATTATCTTATTATACATGAATATGGTTGGGTTAAACTTATGAAGAAGGAAAAAGGTCACAATTTATATTCTTTATTTCAGAGTAAACAAAAAAGTATTTACACGTAATTAGAAGTCACTTTAAATAACTAGATATTATCTTAGTGTACCTGAACATGGTTGTGAACTGGCAAATCAAGTTAAGCCTGACAGCTACGCTAGTAATTTGGTGACATAGGACGCCACTCTATGGTTGATGATAAAGGAAGCAAAACGTTATTATTAGCGTTTAAGGGCTGATAGAAAAACAATATCTGAGTAATGTGTCCCTGATGAGTTTGTTTGTTTGTAGTTAAGCGCAAAGCTATGCAATGGGCTATCTGCGCTGAGCCAACTACAAGCATTGAAACCTAATATTTAGCGTTATAAGTTCATAGAACATGCCACTGAGCCAATGGGGAGGGGGGACTCCTTAAAGAGGCCAGGTTGAAATGCCAGATACATCAGTAACGTTTGGATAGTGAGACCAGTATGAAATGCCAAATACCCGAGTAACGTTTGGATAGTGAGACCAGTATGAAATGCCAAATACCCGAGTAACGTTTGGATAGTGAGACCAGTATGAAAAACCAAATACCCGAGTAACGTTTCACTAGAGAGATCAGTATGAAAAGCCAAATACCCAAGTAACGTTTCACTAGAGAGACTAGTATGAAATGTCAAACACCCGAGTAACTACAAGTATCGAAACCTAATATTTAGCGTTATAAGCCCGTAGACATGCCACTGAGCCAATGAGGGAGGACTCCTTAATGAGGCCAGGTTGAAGTGGCAGATACCTCAGTAATGTTTCGTTAGTGAGAACCAGGTTGAAATGTCAAACACCCGAGAAACGTTTCGCTAGAAAGACCAGTATTACACGCCAAATACCGGAGTAACGTGTCACTAGAGAGACCAATATTACACGCCAAATACACGAGTAGCGTGTCACTAGAGAGACCAGGATGAAATGTCCAATACCCGAGTAACGTGTCACTAGAGAGACCAGGATGAAATGTCCAATACCCGAGTAACGTGTCACTAGAGAGACCAGGATGAAATGTCCAATACCCGAGTAACGTGTCACTAGAGAGACCAGGATGAAATGTCAAATACCCGAGTAACGTGTCACTAGAGAGACCAGGATGAAATGTCCAATACCCGAGTAACGTGTCACTAGAGAGACCAGGATGAAATGTCCAATACCCGAGTAACGTGTCACTAGAGAGACCAGGATGAAATGTCCAATACCCGAGTAACGTGTCACTAGAGAGACCAGGATGAAATGTCCAATACCCGAGTAACGTTTCGCTAAAGAGACCAGGTTGATATTGCAGATCTCGACAATAACTATGTGCCTTATGTTAAAATACAAATTGTGTGATCATATTATGATTGTTCATGAAAGTACATATGAATTATAATGGTCGGTTAAATAAGACAAAACAATCATGAACTCTGTATAATATTTGTAATATACATCAATTTGTGTGGAACAAATAATATATATCACAATTCTGATCAGAATGTTAACTTAATCATATTTCTTGTTTCTTTATTCGCCTCCTGGTGGGCTCAATGGTAATTCTTAAGGCTTATAACGCTAAAAATCGGGTTCAGATATTCGCGGTTGCCGGAGCACAAATAAACCATTGTGTAGTTTTGTGCTTAAGAACAAATAAAACAAACAAACAAAAGTTTCGTTATTCCCTATTAAAATATAAACATTGGTTGATGGTTGTAAATGAATGATAATAGTAATGTAATAGCGGTTTATTTAAAAACCCTTAAGTGTTTGAGAAATACTTCGCTATTTGTAATAGTGTTTATAGTGTCTTACAAATGCCTCGCTCTTTGTCAGTTCGTCATAAAGAAGTTTCATTATTTGTCATAGTGTGTTCAGGTAAGCTCGCTCTATGTCAGTGTGTCATAAAGAAGTTTCATTATTTGTAATAGTGTGTTCAGGTAAGACATGTTAAGTGTCTGAGAGATCTCTCACTATTGTATTTGTGTTTCGTGTAAAAATGTTAACTGTGTTAAAGATGTCTAACTATTTCTAGTGGTGTTTCGAGTACGACATGTTAAATTTCTTAGATATGTCTTGCTATTTCTAGTGGTGTTTCGAGTACATGTTTCGAGTACGACATGTTAAATGTCTTAGATTATGTCTTGCTATTTCTAATGGTGTTTCGAGTACGACATGTTAAATGTCTTGCTATTTCTAATGGTGTTTCGAGTACATGTTAAATGTCTTAGATATGTCTTGCTATTTCTAATGGTGTTTCGAGTACGACATGTTAAATGTCTTAGATATGTCTTGCTACTGTAAGTGTTAGTTTGCCATTTCTTCTCATTATTGAACAGGTTACCGTATTTTTCAGTGTATAAGATGCACTTTTTTATCCCAAAATTTGATGTCAAAATTTGCTTGCGTCCTATACACCGAAGGTATGAATAATATATATATGTATATATACGATATACACAAGCCATGTGTAAACATATTTAAATAGGCATGCATTGTTTAGTTCAATTGAATGTGTTATTTATAACAATAGTAGTTTTTCTTTTAAAAATATAACTATTTATAATGCTCCCTAAATAATAAAAAAATTACAGTGAAAGCAATGACGATTTTGTAGGTTTGAATCAAACTAAATAACAGTAAACCTTTTTTATTTACGATTACTTC